ATTAACGGGAGCAGATGGGAGTGGGAGCAAACCAATAGTAACTAAAAAAAACTAGGATCAATGCCAAAAAATTTAATAAAATAGAACAAAAATCCAGTACTGGCGCCGCCATTTTGTAGTTTTTTTCCTTGAAACCTACACTATAATGCGAGTCAAAAAAACTACACGACCCAAAAACCAACAGTGCTTCCGCTCTGAGTTTTTCACCCGAAATTCAAAAAGAAATTTCAAAAGAAATTCAGATTTAATGTATTGGCAGAAATCTTATTGAAGACAACAAGAATGGGAGTGGTGCAGGAGCAGGAGTCATTCTGAATGGGAGCGGGAGTAATTTCACCAGGAGTGGGACGAGACAGGATTTAGATTTCTACTCTGGCCCATGATCGGGACGGGACACATTTTTTTTCTGTGGGAGTGGGACGGGACAGGAGTGAAAATCCACTCCCGTGTCAGTCTCTACTGCGGACGTTGTTGAGACCACCATGAGAATGTTAAAAGGGGAAGTGTGGGCGTGGATTGTGTATAAAAGAACAGCTTTATGCAGAACTCCTCATCTCCTCATTGAGGAGATAATGAAAGAGTGGCTGAGGGAGGTGTATGTAAGGAGACCAGGTGGTTTTTTTCCACGCATCACCGTCTCTGTTAATCTGTGGCTCCATGCGTGCCCATCTCACAGCCGATGTGGAAAAACAAGCTGAAACAAATGAACACTGTGCTTGCTGTTATTCCGGGAGGTCTGACAAAGGAACTTCAACCGCTTGACATCGGTGTGAACCGGCCGTTCAAAGTAATGCTGCTTTCACACCGGACGCAGCAAGACCAGCAAAATCGCGTCTGCTGCTCCAGTTAGTTCTGACGCGCGGCTGAAGCAGCTTTGCTGCTCTAGTTGCGCAGTGCAAAAGTGTGTCTGACGTGCGTTGGGTGGAGTTAATCTATACTTTCTTTGCCTTGCAGCTATATTTGCTGTGATCAGTGGGAATAAAGAAGTTTTAATATGTTTTTAAGTGAGAAAGTCCACCTGAAAACTTAATCAGTGCAGTCAGTTCATCCAGATTACAATCCTGCTTTCCAATATTAGTTCTGTTGGAGCCGCTCAGACCCCCACATACCAGCGGTGCACTGTCAGTAGGAATCCCATTCAACAGCAGCCTCTGGCCGGGTCGCCTCCTCGCGGTTCACCGCGGCAGCTGGTAGGTGTTTTTCATCTAAATAATCTAAACTGCAGGCAGCAGGATAATAAAAGCAAACATTTTCTGCCGGCAGATTTCTGCATTTTAAGTTAATTTATGCGTCAATAAACTGTTTCAGAGGAGTGATCACAGCGCTCTGTGTCATCAGCGATGTGTCTGTCTCACGGCCAGCTCCCAGGTTTAATTAATACTTTGTAATAAATACATGAATAAAAACAATGGGCGATAGGGCCTTCGAAGCCGCAGCTCCCCGTCTGTGGAATGCCCTCCCAGACCACCTTAGGGCCCCACAGACGGTGGATTGTTTTAAGAATCGACTAAAAACTTTCCTCTTTAGAAATGCCTACAATTGTTGATTTTAGATTTTTTTTAATAGGCTACATATGCCTGTGAATGTATTGATTTTAATTATTTTCTTTTTACTCTGTTTTTAATGTTATGGTCTTTTAGACTTGTTTTAATTTTCACTTTTTTAAATGTAGCATTCTGTAGCACTTTGAGATTTGAAGTCAAATGTAAAGTGCGTTACAAATAAAATTCCTTATTACGGTATTATTATAAATAAAGCACAAACATACTCAGTTTTGCTCCCGCTCTATTTTTAAATATGCAGTAGAGGTATTTAAACGTAGTAGAGGATATGTACCAGTATATAAAACCTGCGTCCTATAATCTGGTGCGCCTTATGTGTGTGTTAAATACAGTAATGGTACACATAACTGAGACTGCACCTTTTAGTACGGTGCGCCTTATGGTCGTGAAAATACGGTAGATTCTCAAAACTATGGTGACCAAACGTCCGTATTTCCCGGGACATATCCGTATTTCACGTCCTGTCCCGGGCATCCCGGGTTTTTTTTAGAAAGTGAGGAAATGTCCTGATTTCACTGCGCACAACGCTCCGTGTGATGTAATCCCTCAGCCGCGTCAGTGCGGGCAGCCCTGTTCTTAATCAGAGGCTCTGTTCGAAAAACCTAGGACGCATCCTCCAAGGACGCGGTCTACCTAGACTGGATCCTTTGAAGTCCTTGAAAATAAGGAGGCCGGAAGAGTTTTGGCTGTAAATTCGAACAGGTCCTCCCTTCGGCGGGTTTTACCGCCGTATGCTCTGTTGCTTAGCAACCGTGAAAGGTGACACACAAAGCAGGAAAAGAATGAATACCGAGGTTTTCAAAACTGTTTGTTTATTTATTTATTTTTTAAAAAGTTAAAGTGAACAAAGACTACACTCACAAGAATCCAGAGTGGAATAAAGGTTCCAACCACCGGGAGCAGGAACCAATCAAATCAAATGTAATGATAGAAACCTTAGTCAGTTAAATAACCTGCTGCTGTCATTCTGCACATCTCTGATGTTGCTGCTATTTTCAAATATCCATTACTGTAAAAATGTCCATAGCTGCATATTGGTTATTAATTCTCCAGTTTTATATTGTTAAAACACTTTACAGAATTTTATTTTTTATATTTTAACTCTTCCCTATTATGTTATTCTTATACATTTTTCTAAGGTCCTTATTTGTGTGACCATTTTCAATAATCTTTCTGCTGCTGTAAATTTGCCCATTGTGGGACAATAAAGGGAGTTTCTATTCTATTCTATAAAAGGGTTAGAAATATATAAGTAAATCTAAACAATGTATCTACAAAATGTATCTGCAAAATCTCTAATATTTAACAACAAAAAATACTTAGTTAAGCATATTGTGCAAAACAACAATAAAAAAATTAAACTCCTATCAGATTTATAGTCCCCACTCTGCAGATTTATTAGAATCTGTCCTTAAATAACAGCCAAACCCATTTACACAGTAACAGATAAAAACCTTTAGATAAATCAATTACCGCCACATATCTGACTCTATAACCATTAAAACAACTAGTAACAAGTAACATTTCCTCTCATCACGGAGCAAATCCCGATGATGAGACATTTCTTCTATCAAACAAAGTGGAAAGGGATGTGAATAGGGATCGTTCAGAGTATGTTTTGTTGAAATTTCAAAAGGAGAGATTTATTAAAGAGAGACATGATGCTGCTATTATTAGAAGCAAGGCTTCCTACGAGGTGTACGGTGAGAGGCCTTCCAGGTTTTTCTTTGACCTGGAAAGGCAAAAATAGGCAAGCAATATAATTCCAGAGCTAGTCTCTAAGCAAGGAGTATTCATCTCTGACCAGGTTGATCTGCTGGAATATGTCCATGGTTTCTTCTGATTTGTTCAGGAAGGAAGCGACTGATGAGGAAGCTACAAATCTGGTTCTTGGCTCCATTGTTAAGAACCTTTTGTTGGAAGAGAGGGATTCCTGTGAGGGTATTGTCAATGTGGATGAGATTAAACTGGTGATTGATACCTTAAATTGTATAAAAGCTCTGGTTCTGATAGGTTAACCAACGATTTCTATAGGGCATTTAAGGAAGAACTCACTCCCATCCCCAGTGAATTGTTCCTTTTCATGGAACGTCACCAGGTAGTACCTGAATCCACAGATACTGGTCTGATTACTCTAGTCTTCAAGAAAAATGGTGATAGAAGAGACGTTGCAAATTATAGACCCATTAGTTTGCTAAATACCAAATATAAGATACTTGCTAAGGTTCTTGTGCTTAGACTCAAAGGAGTCATTGCATCAGTGGTAGATCAGACCCAGGTCTACAGCATCCCGGGTAGAGATGTGGCTGACTTGCTTGCCTCTATCAGAGACAGTCAGCTATCTTAATAGTGGGGAGAGAAGTGGGCTACTGCTGTCATTGGATTTTAACAAGGCCTTTGACAGGGTGGATCATGATTTTCCTTATAGTGTTTTACATAAATTTGGTTTTGGTCCTAGTTTTCTCAGTTGGATTAGGTTGTTGTATGGCAGCTCTATAAGTAGAGTGAAACTTAATGCCTCATTAACTGATGCATTTAAAGTTGAGAGGTTGGTAAGGCAGAACCTCTTAGCTGTCTTATCAAGTCTGACATAACTATCAAGCAGGTTTCTTAATATTCAAATATGTGGATGATACCACTGTTTCTGTTGCTAATTAAGAAAGTGTAAATAAGGTGTTAGATCATGTGAGAAGGTATGTTGGTGCCTCAGGGGCTAAAATTAATGTTAACAAATCAAAGATAACGGCTTTGGGCAGTGAATGCCTTAATCCAGATGACACTGAGCTTATGGTACAAAATGTTTGATTAAAATCTTGGGCATTCACCTAGGAAAGGATGAAGGGATGGCAAACACAACCACATAACCTGTTGAACAAAACATGGTGCATAGTAAACCTCTGGAGCTTACGTAATTTGGTGCTCAGGGGTAAAGTTTCAGTCCTGAATAGTCTCATATACTCAAAATGTAATTATCTGTTTATGTTGGGATCTGGAGATTTACCACCTTTCTCCAGCAGAGTGCGCTGTGGGTCTCCTGGGCTGGAGCCTCCAGCACACCTGATGCTCATCAGCCCATCAGGAGACCTTCCTTCATAAGCAGCAGCCAGACCTTCCTTCAACGCCGCAGTGTTGACCAAGTTTGGTTAGCGAACCTGAGCCTCTGTTATTCTGAAAGAATCTTAGTTGTCTCTAGAGAGAAACCTGATTCTAACCTGCCTCTGTCTTCTTGCTCACAGGAACCCGTCTAAAGTCTAAAGCTCTGGATGAGCTTTGCCTGTAAAACTGCCTGCCTGCCCAAGGAAGCCAAACCTGAAGACTTCAATCTGGACTCCTCTTGCTGCTCTCAAGGAAGAGCTGGAAACTCAAACCAAGGTCTGCCACTCACAAGTCAGAAGCTAGACGCTGCTGCTGCTGAGCACTCTGCTGAACCAACAGTCTCTGGACCCAACCGGTTCCCTCCCTCACAAAGAATCTGTCTGGACCTCTTCAAGGTATATTCTGAATTAATCAACTCGACAAACCATCTGACTGCCTGGCTAATCAAACTATCCGTCTCTGCAGACATCAGTGATTCCAGCCCCGGACCTGTGCCTAAACCAGTTCATGTTCTCTCTGTGAAAACCATTCAATAAACTCTGTTAAACTTTTACTCTGCTTCCAGTGGTGTTCTGCATGTGGGTTAAGTCTCTGAAGCCAATCATGACAGTTTAGGGTCATAAGGTGTCCAGAATGGGTTATGAAGGATTTGAAGGCTATTACCAGGAGGTTTCTATGGAAGGGAGGGAATCCAGAGCTGGCATTACCTACACTTTGCAGTGATTATAGGCATGGAGGATTGAAACTGGTGGACCTTGAGGTCTGGAGGAAAGTTTGCCTTATTGTCATTTTTCATGTTTCTTACACGGCTTAAGCTTGACTCCGTTCCAGGTTTTTATTGGGATGTCCTGTTCGCCTGGCTGATTTTCTGAAAGAGGTTAACGTTAAGGTGCTTTATAGGGAGCAGGTTCTGAACATGCCGCTTCTTTTAAGCAAATATATTGCTAGGATAAATAAGCCTTTTCTGCAATTCCCTGTTCTCAGGGAGGCAGGTTTGAATCAAGTCAGGGACATGCTATATGAGGTTGTTCCAGGTCTCCCCCCTCTACAGGCAGTTGTTGATGCTGTCCTAGTGGTGGATTATTCCTTTTCCAGAAGAAAAATCAAAAACATGTATTCCGAGTTGGTTGAGTCCATTCTGTCAGAATGGCTCTCCTTAGCAGAAAAGGAGAGTATGATGTAAGAAATCTTTCCTGTAATCTGTGTAATCCTCACAGGGTTAAAATTAAGTGAATATAAGACCAGAATGCTGTATGCGTTATTGAATAGTGCACAAACTCCCAAACTTTATGGGGATGTGGACCGAGCGTTGGCCAGTCCTCAAGAGTTAATATCTGGCAAAATTTAAAGATCAAATATAACTGCCATAGATCAGATTATCTAGACTTCAGGATTAGACACAACAGGATTTTCACTGTTATTATTGGTCAAATCAATAAATCTGCAAACAGAAACTGATCTTTGTAATACTCATCCAGTAACACACATTCATATGTTTTTAGAAGGCCCCTGTTTGGTTAATTTATTTTATTTTCTGAGAAAGCTTAGCACTCATTGGTCTGTTAAAAGCGAACTCATAAACTGGGATATTTTATTTGTTTTTGGGAATATTTTCGACATTCATTGAACGGGTATTTGGAAAAGACGGAATTTCATGCACTTTGAGAATAAATGGATTAATGTGGTGAGCAATTTTAAAAGTATTTTGTAAAAGTAATGTCCATAGTTTGTTTCTGCCCGTTTCTGAGTTTGAGGATTTTTTGTATCTGATTGTTCTTTCTTTTCTGTTTACAATGATTACTTGGTTGTTGATTTTCTGTGATATATAATTCCTTTAAACCATATGTTTCATGTTTGTTTTATTTAATGTGATTGTGTTTTAAATTCTTTGTACTTTTGATAATAAAAACTTTTTTTTTTTTTAAACACGCCCGATCTCGTCTCACATCGGAAGCTAGGAAGGGTTGGGCCTAGTTAGTACTTGGATGGGAGACTGCCTGGAAATACCATTCACTGTAAGTCTCTGAGATGGACTGTTGACCTGTCTAGGGTGTACCGCGCTCTCGGCCGTAGACAGCTAGAGATAGGCACCAGCACCCCTTGTGACCCCACATGGGATAAGCGTGATGGAAAATGGATGGGTGGATGGATGTACTTAAGCCAGAATTACACTAAACTACTTACTTTTACATAAAACCTATACAAAAGGCCTATGCCTGACCACACAAATAAGACAGTTTAAATATTTCTCAAAGTTGTAGGGAAGTCATATTTAAATGTCAAATCATTCCTGCTTAAATATGTATATACACTCACCGGCCACTTTATTAGGTACCCCATGCTAGTAACGGGTTGGACCCCCTTTTGCCTTCAGAACTGCCTCAATTCTTCGTGGCATAGATTCAACAAGGTGCTGGAAGCATTCCTCAGGGAGTTTGGTCCATATTGACATGATGGCATCACACAGTTGCCGCAGATTTGTCGGCTGCACATCCATGATGCGAATCTCCCGTTCCACCACATCCCAAAGATGCTCTATTGGATTGAGATCTGGTGACTGTGAAGGCCATTTGAGTACAGTGAACTCATTGTCATGTTCAAGAAACCAGTCTGAGATGATTCCAGCTTTATGACATGGCGCATTATCCTGCTGAAAGTAGCCATCAGAAGTTGGGTACATTGTGGTCAAAAAGGGATGGACATGGTCAGCAACAATACTCAGGTAGGCTGTGGCGTTGCAACGATGCTCAATTGGTACCAAGGGGCCCAAAGAGTGCCAAGAAAATTTTCCCCACACCATGACACCACCACTACCAGCCTGAACCGTTGATACAAGGCAGGATGGATCCATGCTTTCATGTTGTAGACGCCAAATTCTGACCCTACCATCCGAATGTCGCAGCAGAAATCAAGACTCATCAGACCAGTCAACGTTTTTCCAATCTTCTATTGTCCAATTTCGATGAGCTTGTGCAAATTGTAGCCTCAGTTTCCTGTTCTTAGCTGAAAGGAGTGGCACCCGGTGTGGTCTTCTGCTGCTGTAGCCCATCTGCCTCAAAGTTCGACGTACTGTGCGTTCAGAGATGCTCTTCTGCCCACCTTGGTTGTAATGGGTGGTTATTTGAGTCACTGTTGCCCTTCTATCAGCTCGAACCAGTCTGGCCATTCTCCTCTGACCTCTGGCATCAACAAGGCATTTCCACCCACAGAACTGCCGCTCACTGGATGTTTTTTCATTTTCGGACCATTCTCTGTAAACCCTAGAGAGGGTTGTGCGTGAAAATCCCAGTAGATCAGCAGTTTCTAAAATACTCAGACTAGCCCTTCTGCCACCAACAATCATGCCACGTTCAAAGTCATTCAAATCACCTTTCTTCCCCATACTGATGCTCGTTTTGAACTGCAGGAGATTGTCTTGACCATGTCTACATGCCTAAATGCACTGAGTTGCCGCCATGTGATTGGCTGCTTAGAAATGAAGTGTTAACGAGCAGTTGGACAGGTGTACCTAATAAAGTGGCCGGTGAGTGTAAATGTACTCTTTATCAGGTGTTATTGTCCTGAAAAAATGAAAATTTGTATTTAAAAAAGAAATCCCTTCTTAAAATCTCTGGGGTTTTTTTCGTAATATTATGCAGGCCAGTTAGTTGTACATCAGCCTGAACACCAAATTTTTTGGGTCATAGCGTCTTGATTTCTATGTCACAGTTAATATATACATTTGAAATAAGAGATAAGAATAATTTACTTTACCACTGAGTTATGTCCCAGTGTTCACAGGGATGGATGTCTGTGTCTTCGGCAGGCATAGAGCTAACAGAACTGGCAGCGTTGCGAGGCAAGGGCTCAAACGTATGGCTGTAAGCCTTCTACACCAAACAAACCTGTCATCCTGGCGTCCTCTTCCACAACATTTTTGTCCCCACTTTCCTCTAAATAAAAAATGTATGACGGAGGAGACTCATCCACAAACTCCAACACAAAACTCTCCTCATCTTGCATACAGGTGCTGGTCATAAAATTAGAATATCATGAAAAAGTAGATTGATTTCAGTAATTCCATTTAAAAAGTGAAACTTGTATATTATATTCATACATTACATACAAACTCATATATTTCAGATGTTTATTTTGTTTAATTTTGATGATTACAAATGACAACAAATGAAAATCTCAAATTCATCATATCAGAAAATTAGAATATTACTGAAGACCAATAAAAACAAAGGATTTATAGAAATGTTGGCCAACTGAAAAGTATGAACATGAAAAGTATGAGCATGTACAGCACTCAGTATTTAGTTGGGCCTCCTTTGGCCTGTATTACTGCAGCAATGCGGCGTGGCATGGAGTCGATCAGTCTGTGGCACTGCTCAGGTGTTATGATAGCCCAGGTTGCTCTAATAGTGGCTTTTAGCTCTTCTGAATTGTTGGGTCTGGTGTATTGCATCTTCTTCTTCACAATACCCCATAGATTTTCTATGGGGTTAAGGTCAGGAGAGTTTGCTGGCCAATTAAGAACAGGGATACCATGGTCCTTCAACCAGGTACTGGTAGCTTTGGCACTGTGTGCAGGTGCCAAGTCCTGTTGGAAAATGAAATCTGCATCTCCAAAAAGTTGGTCAGCTGCAGGAAGCATGAAGTGCTCTAAAACTTCCTGGTATGTGGCTGCGTTGACCCTGGACCTCAGAAAACACAATGGACCAACACCAGCAGATGACATGGCACCCCAAACCATCACTGACTGTGGAAACTTTACACTGGACTTCAAGCAACGTGGATGAAGTGCCTCTCTTCTTTTCCTCCAGACTCTGGGACCTTGATTTCCAAAGGAAATGCAAAATTTACTTTCATCAGAGAACATGACTTTGGACCACTCACCAGCAGTCCAGTCCTGTTTCTCTTTAGCCCAGGCAAGACGCTTCTGACGCTGTCTGTGGTTCAAGAGTGGCTTGACACAAGGAATGCGACAGCAGAAACCCATGTCTTTCATACGTCTGTGTGTGGTGGTTCTTGAAGCACTCACTCCAGCTGCAGTCCACTCTTTGTGAATCTCCCCCACATTTTTGAATGGGTTTTGTTTCACAATCCTCTCCAGGGTGCGGTTATCTCTCTTGCTTGTACACTTTTTTCGACCACATCTTTTCCTTCCCTTCGCCTCTCTATTAATGTGCTTGGACACTGAGCTCTGTGAACAGCCAGCCTCTTTAGCGATGACCTTTTGTGTCTTGCCCTCCTTGTGCAAGGTGTCGATGGTCGTCTTTTGGACAACTGTCAAGTCAGCAGTCTTCCCCATGATTGTGTAGCCTATAGAACTAGACTGAAAGACCATTTAAAGGCTTTTGCAGGTGGTTTGAGTTAATTAGCTGATTAGAGTGTGGCACCAGGGGCCATCAATTTTGAACCTTTTCACAATATTCTAATTTTCTGATATGATGAATTTGAGATTTTTATTTGTTGTCATTTGTAATCATCAAAATTAAACAAAATAAACATCTGAAATATATGAGTTTGTATGTAATGTATGAATATAATATACAAGTTTCACTTTTT